AATAGAAAGCAACTGCAGACACCAAAGATAACATGGGAGGAAGGCGGGAAATGGCAGAGGGTGAGAAATAGAGAGACAATATAGATAGATAGATAGATAGATAGATAGATAGATAGATAGATAGATACATACATACATACATACATACATACATACATACATACATACATACATACATACATACATACATACATACATACATACATACATAGATACATAGATAGATACATAGATAGATAGATACATAGATAGATAGATATGAAACTAGAAATGGAAATTATCAATGATAACATGTATGATTAAGCCACTATGCAGTATATTCTGGATGGAATAATCACATTTTGTATGCTGTGATGATGCTCGGTGAATGAATGCAAAATTAAAATAGGAAAAATAAGAAAATTACTTGCAAAGCTTGTAAGTGGTTCCTGCCACTTATCAGTGGTGTGAATCTAAGCAAGCTATTCAATGTCTCAGAGTTTCAATTTCTCTACCTGCAAAACAGAAATGATATCTACATAACAAAAATTATTGGGAAACTGAAAATGAGATCCTACTAGATAACACACACTGGGCATTTACTGTGTGCCCAGCACTATTCTAAGAACTTCAGGTGTGTCATCTCACTTGTATAACTATTTAATAGAATGCTGGGAGCATAATAAATATTAAATATTCAAGAAATGTCATAGGGCAGAGGAAGCATTACTAACTTCCAAGAGCCGAGAAGATGACTTGTTATACAGACGGGCAGAGTAAGATACGATGCAGCTGGGAGAAGAAAACACAATAGTCACTGGAATTGACCATCTCCAACTTTTGAACATTCCAAATTAAACAGCTCATCTAAATCATCTCAAAGAATAGACTTGAGTTGTTATTTTCATCTTTAATATCTATTCCTTTATGAATCTGAGAAGAAGCTCCCTGGAGTCCAATACATACCAAAAGTGATGACCATATCCTGAACCATGCAAACTTGTGTGTGTCTACAGCTACTGAAAGGAAACAGATGCTAGTGCGCTAGAGGAGCATCTCTGTGATGGCAGCTCAATTTCCCTTCAGTGTGGCCACATCTACCTCTTATATTCTCAATAGTGGGATAAATAATTCAACAGGGATAAAGCTCATCTTTTCTGCATAGCCTTTTCTTGGAGAGACTTTTGCTATAGGACACCAGAGAGAGAGAGAGAGACAGAGAAACAAAAAGCGAGAAGTCCCCCCGCCCCCACGCCCGAGAGGGGTGGCCATGCTGCACTTCCTTCTCCTCCACTCTTCTCTTGGGATCTTGGACACATACATATGCCCAGCATGAGTTTTAAGTCACCAGATCCGAGACTTGAACCATTGTCGACTACTAGGAGTCCAGCGACAGAATCATTATGCCATCTGACGGTCCTTTATTTTATTTTTTAGGATTTTCCTCATATTCTTTTAGTGCTTATATTCTTGGCACAATATTGATATACTACAGGTAAGCCAGTATCTGGACATTCTCTATCCAAAGCCTATCTACATTGTAGGTCCTTCACTTTCTCAAGTCATAGAGAATATATTGTTAGCACCAAGGAAATTTTTTTTAAGTTTTTGCCATAGGGTGTGTGCACTCACCAGAAAGAGAGAGAAGTAGAGAGGAAGAGTGAGAAATCATCCCTCAGAGGGGATGACCATACCACAATCTCTTCTCCATTCTCTTCTCAGGATTTTGGGCATTCACGCACATGCACCTGGCATGATTTTCAAGCAACTGGTTCCCAGATTTGAACCATGGTCAGCCATATAGGAGTCCAACACATTAACCCTATACCACCTGCTGACCCCAGAGACTAAAAGAATTTTTTAAAGTAAGCCACCATTTCCAGCTGGTGGCATGGTGATTAAGGCAGCTGGATTCCACATGGTCAGTGTGCAGTTCAAGTAGCAGACCCAGCAGCCTGAAAAACACACTGAGCACATGTGTGTGTCCAGAATCCTGAAGGAAATAAACATGGAGGAGAAGGGATTATGGCATGATCCTCCCCCAGAGGGGGTGCTTTCTCACTTCCCATCTTTCTCGCTTGCTCGCTCTCTCTCCTCTTTCTCTCTCTCTCTCTCTGTCTCTCTCTCTCTCTCTCACTCTCTCTATCTCTATATCTTTCTGGTGTGTACATGCACCTTCTGTCAAAATTTTTTTAATTTAGAAAAATAAAAGTCAGGACTTGTGTAGGTGGAATGAAGGAAAAGCACTTTAAAGTCAGAGGGAAAAGTATACTTAATATTTAGGATTAATATTTTGGAAGGGGCCCAAAGCTCAGGCTTCATTCAATTCATGGTAAGTCAATCTGAGCTGGGACCTCTTTATGAACTTTCATAACACAGAGAAAAATTTTTCAACGTATAAACACCCCAGTGCTGTGAACATGGGTCATAAGAAAAACTAGAACCTTCATTGGCAACTTGCCTTTAGAAAGTAATGCAATAGGCTTCCATCTCACTATAGTAAATGTTTCCTGAATCAATTTAACTTTGTCTATTAGAATGATTTGACCAAAAAAAAAAAAAAAAGTCCAGCCCCTAACTCACACTTGGCATATTGGGGCCACTGTGTCAATACCGGCAAGTAACTATGAATTAGTTTGAGGGGTACAGCTCTATTTGGATCACATGGTATAAGTATTAATTACCAATATTATCTAATTCTGATTTTTTTCACCACCATGAAGCAAATGTCTTTATGTTGTTGAAGATGAACACAGAACCTTGAGATAAACGTGTTGGTGCTGCCTTCATTATAAGTCTTTTCTAACCCATCCCTATTCCTACTTCCTCATCCTCCTGCCTGGTTACCCTGCTGAGTATATCCTAGCATGACTCTCAGACACTTTCCCATCAACATCTATCCTCATCTGTCTAGTAAGAAAGTCTCTTGGGGACATCTGCACCCTCAGCATAGCACTCAGGAAATGTTTTTGAATAAATGAACAATTTTTAACAGGTTTTTGCTATCACGTGTGTGTACTCACTAGAGACAGAGACAGTGAGAGGGAAAGTGAGAAATTACTCCACAAGGGCATGGCCACATCACAATCCCTTTTCCTCCATTGTCCTCCTGGGATCTCCAGCACTCATGCACACACGCCCAGGATGATTTTCAAGCCACAGTATCCAGCACTCAAACCGTAGCCAGCCATGTGAGAGTCCAGAGATATAACCACTATGCCATTTGCTGGCCCCCTGAATGAATGTGTATCAATTGTGATTCCATGAGTTTTTCTTTTCCTGTTTTGTCTACATAGCCATAGTGAAAATCAGATTGTTTTGAGAGACTCTCCACATTATAAAATGCTCAGTAAAGGTGGTGAGTCTAAAACGTGTGTGTTGACAGTACCAAAACCTGTTGGTGAAGAGACCTAGTGAGCCTGCTCTCAGATGCGTGACCAGAAGAAAAATAGACCCTTGCTCAATATTCTTTCCCCAAGTTGGGCAACAAGAAAGTAATGAGAGAGAGGAGAGGAGGCTGCTGTGGATGGGCATCTGCAAGAACCTCCAGCACCAGGCACATCCTAAACCCCCTTCCACTAACCTGACATGACTGTGTGAAACTGGATTTCTGAACCACAAGACAGGCAGACAGTCTTTTCCAATATCAGGTTAGAAGAAAATGCTTACCTTGAATCTGAAATTCCCTTCCAGTATTCACTGATTTGCTTGTACCATAGAGAAATTAATCCATATTCCAGCCATAAGGAAATAAAATCTACTCTTCTTGTTGAAGAGCAGTCAGTATGTGGAATCAGGCTACAGCAATGCATGAGGGGGTCTTCCAAAAGTTCACAGAAAAGGTGTATCACGGAAAAACTATCCAAGGATTTTCTTTTTTTCCCCCCACCAAAATAAACTCATACATTAATCTCATTTTCCCCAAGGCCCCTCATATTGGCTACATGAATATTTTTCACCCTATAACTTAATGTAAAAACCATCTTTTTCCATACCTGAAAGGTTCCTAATGCCCATATATAGCTCATAACTTCAAAGTTCTATACTTTTTGAAAAATAATGTTGAGGAAAGAAGTGCCCTGTAGCAAGCTTTCAGGTATTCTTTCTGTGTCACTATTTAAAAAAAGAGAGACACAGCTGGCAAGTGGCATGTTCAAGTCCCAGATCTGGTAACTTGCTTTCTCACTTTCTCTCTCTCTGTCTCTCTCTGGTGAGCACACATGCCCTATAGCAAATTAAAAATAATAATAAAAATATAGTAATTCTTTTCAAGGAAAGAAGAAGGAAGGAAGGAAGGAAGAAAGAAAGAAAGGAAAGAGAGAGAGAGAGAAAGAAAAGAGAGAGAAAGAAAGAGAAAGAAAGAGGAAGGAGAGAAAGAAAGAAAGAAAGAAAGAAAGAAAGAAAGAAAGAAAGAAAGAAAGAAAGAAAGAAAGAAAGAAAGAAAAAGAAAAGAAAAGAAAAGA